TCTCGGAGGCTCAGCAGAGCCAGCAGCACAGCGACCGCAGGCTCCACCTTGATGTTGGACTCTGCTCTGTTGTCAGGACTGAGATGGTCTCGGTTGCCAAGGAACTGATGGAGAGTTCCGAGTCTTTCCTCAAGGGCAGGAGCGCTGTGAGAGAAGGGAGCAGAGCAGCCGTGAGCCCCCAGTGCCTGCAGGGACCCCCAGGGCCCCCCTTCAGCCCATGCCAGCCCCATCCATCTCCTTCCCTGGCAGGAGGAGCCGGTGAGACAACCAGAGCGGCTGAAGCTGCTGCTCAGGAATGACCCGTGTGCCCCCAACAAACAAAGGAGCTCAGGACTGGGCCAGGCCACAGAGTCATTTTTTCGTTTGCTGTACAAGCTGGTCTAGAGTTGTGTGCAGCCTCAATGAGCTCATGTATTGATCTGAGCATCATAGTGTGGAGTCTGGACATCATCAGCCTCCTGGCAAGGGGCAGGACAGGGATGGCTGTTCTTTCCCCACAAATTCCCTTCCTTTCTGGTGAGAAAACAAAATTCCTCCAATTTCAAGACCTTACTAAAGAGATATGCTAACCTATGTGTTAAGACACAAACAACTTTGTGAAACTGCTCTTGAAAAAAACCTCCTGAAACTGCTCATCTTCCCCTTGAGCATTTTCCTGGGGTGGGGCCGGGCACAGCAGCACCTGCCCAGGCTCTGTCCCCCTACTCACCATTGCAGATGTCCCACAACCTCTCCTGGCTGAGGATCCTCCGGCGCTGGGCAGCAAGATCTGGGGCATATAGATAATGTTAGAGCTTTGCTCCCCCTGGACAGGGCTGTCACCCAGCAAGGACAGCACCTGAGGGCTCTGGGATCCAGCAAGACCCCCAGCAAGCCCACCAGTGGGGACTCGGGCCAGGTGGCCAGAAACGGGTCCCTGGGAACTCACCGATGAACCTGATGGCCTCCTCTCGCACACTGGCCTTAGGGTCCTTCAGGTAGGGCAGGCTCTGCAGCAGATATTCCTCTACCCTGCTCCTGTTGTGTGTTATCTGAGGGAGCACAAGGGCACGGGGCTGGTATGGACCCTTCGCAGCCGTCCGGACCAGTGCCTCCTGCCAGCACCCCCGCTCCCTCCCAGTAACTCCTGTCTCCCAGCCAGAAGCCCCGTGGGCCTGAGGGCCAGAGAGCCACAGGCAGAGGGGGCTGGGGGTGCTGAGACCCCTCTGTCCTGCTGCCATGGCCCAGCTGGGCTGGGCTCTCCTGGAGGACTGCATGCTGGAGGGCAGGGAAGGAGGGTGCAGCTGGAGCAGTGGGGCTGGAGCAGGGCAGCGATGCAGAGCAGCACAGCCCCCCCTGACACGGCTGCAGCCCCCATCCAGCCCAGCCCAGGGGTTTGGGGGGTGTCCTCACCAAGCACTGTCTGATCAGGTCTGTCTGCCCTGTCTTTGACACGGAGCTGAGCCTCCTCCAGCCCAGGAACTCTCCACAGGTGCTGAGGGTGTCTCGGGAAGCCTGTGGAGAAGCAGAGGCTGGGAGATGGCACCAGAGCCCAGGGAAGGAGACCTGGCATCCTCCTGCTCGGGGCCTGGCTTTGAGCTGGGGGCACGGGGTGATCCCGAGATTGGATCCCCCTTCATTCCTGGGGCCATCCCGCGCTCCGGGAGCCAGCCCCGACTGAGCAGGGAACTGTCTGTGCCAGGTTCTCTGGCCCTGCTGGTTCTGGGGCTGCAGGGACCCTTTCTGTCGGCCAGGGGGACCCCACCTCCCCCTCCAGCTCTGCAGCACTGGGACCAGTGCCACAGGACCCTGTGGTGACACACATTCCCATTGTCCCTCACACCCAGGCCACCCCCGTGGTGTCAGCACACCCTTCCCCGCAACACCAATCGCTGGTCACTGCACCTTGGCCACGCTCTCGATCTCCTCACTGGTGTGCAGTAACAGTGGGAGAAGCACACTCTGCACTGTCTTCACCATTTTTTTCTTTTTTCTCCCCACCGTGGTCTTCATCATGTATTTGAAGAGGAGGATGGAGAGCTCCCGCACCCGGCTGCACTCCTGGCAAGGAGGAGGACAGAGAGAGCTCAGCACCAGCCGCTCCTCACCCAAGGGGAGCAGAGGTGTTAGTGTGGCTGGGGGAGAGGAGCTGCTCTGGGGCTGGATCCTGAACGCAGGAGCCGTTGGCCAGACCTGCAGCTGCAGCTCAACAGCCCCGGAGCCCTGAAAGGCCACGGAAGAGGAGCGGGGAGGGGAGGGGAAGAGCCCCAAAAGGCTACACAAGAGGAGTAAGGGGGGGACCCCTGCCCAAATGCTTTCCACATGGCCACACTGAAGGGCACCCATCCTGCAGCCATCGCCTCAGCTCAGGCTCCCATGGCAGACTTACATCATCGAAGAGGGGCAAGAGCTTCTCTGCCAGCTTCGGGGAGATGAGGTTGGACTCTTTCATCTTTATGTGACCCATCACGTTGATGAACAACATCAGAGCCTTCATCTTGACACTGGCATTGGCATCCATCAGGGTCTCCAGTATATCAGGCAGCAGCACCAGCAGTTTTCTGGCCTGTATGAAACACACCATTGCCTTTTTGTAAAGTGGTGAAAGACACCTGCCCCCACCGCCCCAGCCCCCGGCTGCTGATGGGGCTCCCCTTGTGGACCCCCTGCTCACCAGTTCAGGTGTTTTTGAGAGCGTGATGAGGCCTGTGAGCACCAGCGAGAGCATCACTGGGCTGCCATGCCTCATGTACCTCTGGGTTTTGTAGAGGGCAGCAAACTCCTCCGTGTCAATGTCAGCGCAGGCCAGGAGCTAAAATGGAGACAGTGGTGAGAGACCAGCAGAGCTGCAGGGCTCCCTCCATGCCACCAGCACAGTCCATGGCAAATGTCTCCTCTCCCCCAGAAGCCACCTCAGAGTCCCCACATCTCTGAGCCAGGAAGAGCAACCACCTTGACTCTGGTTTCTGCCCCTTCCTGGGGTCTCCAGGCTGCAGACCTGGGGAGGGGGATGCAGGCAGCAGGGAGGGCAAAGTGTTGCCTCTGCTGGGACAGGCTTGATGGGGCCAAGCCAGCATGGGGTGGGCCCAAGCGTGTGGCACGGGGGTCTGGCTGGTGCTGAACAGGGGAAGGAGGAGGAGGAAGACAGAGCGCTGGGACTGGGTGTGGGTCACTCACAGCCAAAGGGTAGATGCAGACGTCATCTGTGGCAGAGCTGAACACCCTGCGCAGCTGCCAGTCCTGAAGCACGCCGACCAGCTCCGACACGACTCTCCGCAGAGCCCAGGGCATGGAGATCATCACCTCCCACATGGCCACAGCCGCCCTGCAGAGCCAGAGCCAACTCGGTCAGCAGAGCTCCCTCTGCTCCTTCAGACCCCGGCCCTGGCGACCCCCTCATTTCGGGGTGCCTGCAGAGGCAGAGGGGGGTGAGGTTCTGTTCCTATGGGGCAGGGGCTCCGCTTTGGCCGGCTCTGGCTGAAGGGGGAAGCATGGTGGGATTGAGAGCCCTGATCCTCGGGGATATCCTGCAGTTTTCCATGGGTCTGGCAGCCAGAGAGTCTCTGGGCCACTCTCCCCCTGCGGAACAAGCCCTCAAGGCTGTCAGGGCTGGTACCTGTCACATGCTGGAGAGATGCTCAGAAGGCTCCTGACCACCTCCCTGGGACTCCACTCTGTCAGCACCAGCAGCAGCGCGTCCAAGCTGTTCCGGGCTAGTTCCGTGTGGATGTGGTCCACATTTTTGTGGATGTATCTCATAATTTTTGGCACCTGGAGGGGACATGGGTAAGGATGATGCTGCCGTTCCCACCCCTCCCTGATGCCTTGACGGTTTCAGGTGCTCAAGAGAGCTGAGTTAGGGCAGGAGAGAAGAACAAGACTTGATATGGAAGGACAATCCAGCCACGGGGCACTTACATCCGTCAGCCAGAACACAGGCTCTGTCATGGCCATGTCCACGATGTCACTGGCCATCAGCCTGTCATGGACATCATCTGCCGTCAAGGCCTCGATGGCCACGAGGAGAACATCCGTCTTCTGAGAAGGCTGGAGGTACTCGCCAAATACCTACAGGAAGAAAGACAGGGGGAAGATGTGTCACGCTGAGCTTGGCTGAGCAGCTCGACCACCTCTGGTCCCTTTGCTTGCACAAGTCGATGCCATGGTCAAAGGTCCCGGCAAGGGGGGAGCTCGTTACCGTTCCCATGTTGCTGCTGTCGAGTGAAGAAAGCAACCAGGTGCTCTCAGAATCCCATCCCGCTTCCTCTGGAATCTCCTCTGGCAGCGTCTCATCTACACAGAAACATGGAAGAGTCAGTAAGACAACAGCCATCTTGGCCAACAAGTCTCCCAAAGAGTTAAAAGAGCTTGAACCGGGGGAAACGGGGTCCTGGCATCGGCCCCCTCACTCACCGATCCACAGTGACTGTACCGGGGACACCTCCCAGGGCTCTGGCAGAGATCTGCTCTCCGAGGGAGCCCTCACCTCCTCCCAAACCACCCTGGGGCTGCTGGGGGGTCTCTCTGCCATATTCAAAAATGGTTGAGGGACAGTGGGGGGGTTCAGCTTTAGGAAGTGATGGGAAAAGACGTGGGCTGTGCTCAGGAGTCTCCTCGCTGCGCTCCTGCCCTGTCCCTTCCTCGTCTTGTCAGACACTGTGGGGCTGTGTTGCTCAGATACGTTGCTGGGGGTGACATGGAGACGTGTCACAGAAGGGGTCACATTGTGACGTCACCCAGGCTGGGTGGGGCAGGGTTCCACTGCAGGGGGTGGGGACCCAGCTTGCCACTGGGCCATTGCTCCTCTCAGGGTGTCTCCAGGCCCCCATCATGTCCCCTCAGCACCTTTCTGTACCCCCCGGCTCGTCTCAAGAGGGTTCACACACCCCGGCACAGCCCCCGGACTTTCTGCTTTGGTCCTGACAAACGCTCCAGACTGCCCCGTCTCTCCCTTATGGTCACCTGAAGCATTGCTGACCTGTGTCCAGTTCTTTCCCACACTCCCAGAGTAGGTTTAATCTGCTACAAGAGTTTCCTGGTTCCAGCTGGGATAGAGTTAATTTTCTCCCGCTGGGAGGGAGCACAGCCCCAGTGCTGTGTTTTGCAGCGACGGGATCTCCATTCTGTCGGGGTCACTGACCAGGAGCAGGCTGTTGGTCGGTGGGTGGTGAGCAGTCACCTTGTGCATTAGCCATTTGTACTTTCCATTGTTGTTATTTTGTTTTACTACAATCACTAAAGTGTTTTTTTTTAATCTCAACCTACAAGTTTTCCTTGTGTCCCTCCATTCTATTCCCTCATTCCCCCAACAGGGGGAGGAGAGCGAGTGGCTGTGTGGTGTTTGACTCCAACCAAGTTCAAACCACGAGAATCCTTTTTGGTGCACAGCGTGGGGCTCAAAGGGTTGAGATAATGGCAGATGGGGTCCGTGTGTCATAACTATTGGTTAGAAGCATTCATTATATTGGCTTATCAATTGCTGGTCATAATGTCGATCTCTTGGTTCCTTAAAATTTCCTCTCCTCATTTGCTCTATATAGTCCCCATGCTGCTGCTCAGCACCCGTGGGAACTGGGTTAAGATTTTTGTTTTGTTGAGCTGTGTAACACTGATTGATGGCACAGTGAAGTCCTACCCGATGTGCTGTCAGTCTGCAGATCGTCACCTCGTTCCTAGGTGAGTGTTGGGGCTTCTCCTGGGGTCTCCTGTGCATCTTCTTAAATGCTGACAAAATGCGCATGTGAAAACAGAATTAATCATCAGAATAGCTGATAAGGAAGAATTCATCAAGACCTGCCCCTGGAATTTATGCAGCAGCCAAAAGAATCTGTGAAGGATGTAAACTTTGTAAACAATATGCTTTTGTACGAATTAAGACATCCAGTGGAAAAAGACCTCCAGCCACCTTTCCTTTTCAAAAGCTCCAAGTTGATTATACTGAAATTCCAAATAAAAAAAATTTTTAAAGGGGGGTGTGTGTGTGTTACATGTTAGTGATAATTGATCAATTAACAGGATGGGTTAAAGCTTTCCCTACCAGGAAAACTGATTCAAAAGTAGTAGTAAATAAAAATTTACTGAAGGAATAATTCCTAAATATGGAGTTCCTGAAGTCATTGATTCTGATCATGGGGCTCCTTTCACAGCTGATATTTTAATTCCAATTTATCATTCCTTAGGAATTTTTAGTCAGTTTCATACTCCTCATCACCCCAAATCATCCAGCCAAGTAGAACAAATGAACAGAACCTTAAAAGAAAAATTACTTGAGGTTTGTAAAAAGACTGGCCTGAAGTGGCCCGCTGCTTTAAATTTAGTGTCTCATAATGGTCTGTGTGATTGTTCTGTTTGTTACATTGGTTGTTGTTCTTTTATAATGCAGAAGATTAAAAGAGGGACGTAGAATTATAAATAAGAAGGATTGCAGGAGTGCGATGGAAAAACAAAAGGAGGGAACTTGTGAAAGGAATAAGATTTAGAAATCTCTTTTCTCTTAGGATATTATTAATAGCAGGAATAATAATAACTAGATATTGTTTTATACAGCACAGGTGCTCTAGGAACAACACTGAAGATAAGGAATCGTGATGACCCAAGACTGCATCAGTGAGCAGCGATGTACCACCCAATCCTTTGTTTTTTGAGCAGTGCTAGTCAGAAACACTCCCTTTTATCACCAAAAACTACACCTGCTATGCTGAACCTCTGCTGTGATCCCTTGGATCCCAGCAAGGCTTTGGTATGTTCTGCAGCACATGAAAAGAGCAGAGTGAGGGCATGAGGTAAACAAGTGAGCAGGTCCACCGAGGTATCGCCACTGCATTTCCAAAAGAAAGTGGGTATTTCATCACTCAAAATAATACACTTTTCATATTCCCACCCACATTTTTATTTGTTTAATTCCTCTTATACCTATTTTGTTGATTATTCTGAACTGATTTGAATTTGGTCCTACCTTGTAAGAAACAATCACACCTGGAAATCTTGAAAGCTGCTGTTCCACAGAACTGGCATCTGTTTGTCATCATTAGTTAAGTGTGCTGAAAATGAGATCTGAACTCTGCAAATGGCTCATCACTCCCTTGCCATACCCCATCTGCCATCTGCAGATCCAGACATGCACAGTTTGAGGGTACAAAGTGATCAGTACATTTTCAGCTTTCCTGGCACCCATGAAAGCAGTTAGATGCACACATGGAGCTATCACTAGATGGTATGAAGTGAATAGCTCAGAGGGGAGGAATAATTATTTATTAAAAGTCCTGGATTTATCATGATCCTTGTCTTGTCTCCATCTTCAGCAACACTGTCATTGGCAAACCATCATTCCAGGATGCTCCAGCTAGTCTTTTAATTGGCTTGGTGGCAGCAGTAAATTTGAGCTCTTCAGGTCTCTCCAAATACCTGATTCTGTCAGTCCAGAGGGCTGAGGAGGTTTGTTGAACAAGCTGTCCTTAATATCAGTGGTTTATTTCTCACTTTCTTACTAGTACTCTCTCCTCCCTTTTTTGAAATTCTCCTTAGTCATTTAAAATTCAGGATCATTTTTCTCTTCTTATTGGGTTATTCACGTTAACTTTTTCAGTGTGCTTCTGTGAAGCAGGTCATAACTTATCAAAGCTTTATAGCTCCCCTCTCTGAAGCTGTGCTTGTATTTACAACCAGTGGGTCAAAACTGACAGCTTAAAATGCTGTTCTTAGCTGACTAACCAGTCTGGAGAACCTGACAGCCATCAGGATTTGCTGGAGGCTGTGGTGAAATTCAGGCTGAGGTATCCCAATCTGACAGGCAGGACAGCACATCCAGGAGATGTAACAGGGCACCAGTCCCCACAAAGAGGGACTAAAGGAACCTGCTCATGAGGAAACAGATGTTAAATGGGAAGCAACCCAACACAGTTGTCTTCATGGTATCACAAAATATCCATTAAAAGTCTGTAGTTTAGAGCAGGACTAAGAAGTCCCAGAAAATTTCACTGGAAATTATAACCTTATTTAGAAGATTTAGGTAAAACTTTATCTGAGCTACAAGATTTTGCCAAATGGAAGCTCCCAGAGAGGGAAGTTACAGCTACAACTGTTTCAGATCATTTTCCTAACATGTTGGTATAGCTGAGGAGCCAGTCCTAGATACTTTGGGAAAGGAAAACAAAATGATAGGTTTCCAGTAACTAGAGAAATTCAGACAATGCACAGTGAAGATCAGTTCTCAGCATAATATGGACAGGAAAAAAAGGACTACTGCAGCCTAATAGCAAACACACAGCACAGTAGTGATGTGTTCCCCATGAGTGTGCCATCAGCTGAAGGACAAGAGGTCTAGTCTCATCTTCTCATGTGTGCACACATAATTCATACACTACTTGGTGCCTGTTGTCTCAGCACACAGTCTCATTGTCCCCAGAGTATCAGCGTCCAGGCTGCAGCTCCCTCCCACTCACAGCACGTCCTTTATTCTGCACAGAGCTCTGTTCTTCGCTATGCAAACCAAGTCCACGGCTAGGATGTATCAGGTGATAGAATGCATTTGGATGGGTTGTCTCTACATGACAATTCATAATTCAGTTTGGCCATTTGGGTTTATTTCAGCTCCACTCAGCAGTTTTGTTACTCTTCTAAGTGTCCTCAGGTCCAATGTAGATTTAAATAAAAAAGATTTACATTATCCAAGTCCTACAGATCAATCAATTTTTCTCCACAGTGATTTCTGGCTCTTCTGTAGCTATACCTGTCTGACAAAGATATTGTCAGACAGATATAATTACTATATATTTACTATATATGTAAAAACATACATATTTTTAGAAGATTACATCCTTCTTTTGTGGAGTGGCCTCAACCATCCTCTGGTTCAGAGCACAAATCATTCTTTTCAGCTTCTTTGTCAGTTTTTAGCTTAATGTATAAAGAGTTTTGACAGCCCCTGCACACTTGCCATTACAGTAGGCTGCCCATGAATCTGTTCAATGACTCTGTGCATCCAGTGAATTTTGCTGACATTTTTCCCCCTCTTGCTTTAGATGATTGGCACCACAGTGATTTTAGAAATGCACACATGTGAAGCTGATTTTCACACTTGGCTGGAAAATTTACATTCTTAACATTGGATTTTTTTGTTTCATTTTACTTTATTTTTTAATATCTCACAACTGTGGTCCCTCCCCACAAATCCTTCCCATCCGTCCTTTGAGCACCTCAGTAATGCTTTGAAATTGCAACCAGTAGTTACCACTTAGAGGAGTAAATTGTGCTTTTGGAAACTTGTGCAGACAGCCTGCTCTCTTCTCTAGCAGTAGTAAAAGAGCGTTCGTGCCAGCCCACTCGTAAACTGCTTTCAGCATCTGAACTGCTCAATGCTACGGTTACTGCTGAGATGTGCAGGAGCATGAAGTTCATCGTGTAAAGAAGAGCTAGGAGACAGGCTTTGCCCTGGCATTGACTTATGTATGTGTGATAGGAGACTTCAGCAGACAAAAGAGAACCCCTGTGACTGGAGAAATATTTGGAGCTCCTGAGAGCAGAGAGCATGAGCACGCACAGCTTGTGGTGCAGAGGCGGTGCTCTCTGCCCCTTGGGGTGCCAGTGCAGGCTAACAGCGTGCTGGTCTCCTGATCTACAAGGACCAGACTTCTGCCAGTCCACCCTGCTGTGCTGGTGTGCCAGGTAACCGCTGTGACTCTTCTCAGAAGTGAGAGTTGTGACTGGGGACAAACGTTGAGGGTGGGAGTGAAGCTGTGCTGGGCTGGTGCCCAAATAGTGAGCTACACATTTGAGTGATGCTGACATATATGTGATCTTTTCAGAACGGACCCCAGAGAGTCATGCCCTTGATTTGCAGCTTCTGTTGTCTGTTTTAGGATTAGTTGGGTTGGCTTCTCTTGTAACTTGTCTGACTACTGTTAGATTAGGCAGGGCTTGTAGCAACAACATTATGTTATCTGAGAGTGACTCCAGAGGCCTTCAGACCTTGGCCATGGCTCACGCCTTGCTTGACCCAGAGGGAAGGGAGTGCTGGGTTGTGTAGGCTGGGCTTAATGTGCCAGCCATACAATTTCTTTTGCATAAACACAGGAGCCTGATGGGCCACCTGTCACCAAGCCACCAACTCCCGAAAATGCTGAGCTGTGTGGAGCCCAGCACCTGTCCTCGGGGTGCTCCACAGGTTACAGCCACTGGCCGGGTGTCATGCTATCAGTCACTTTTGAGCCTGGTGGTCCAACCCATGTAACAGTCTGTTTATCCTGCCTGTGAGTCCTTAACTTCTAGATAAGAAAGGTCCAAGAGGCTCTGTCAGGAGCTGTTCAGAA